AAGCACATTACGCCGATTGCCGCCCATTGCCGGCAATCAACGAGACATTTGCGCAATTTAGCCAACATCGTTCGGCAATCTCGCTGCTCTCCCCATTGGATCTGTCGCTGCGCGCGGCGCCAAATATGGTGCCAATTACACCGCCATCGACGCCCTCGCCGCCGCGCAAGCGGCAGAGATTAATGTCCGAGGAGAATTACCTGTGGCGGCCGCATGCTGCGCTGGTGATGCAGCAGCCACCAGCAACGGCCACCAGCTATTTCCATCAGCAGCAGCAGGAATTGGGGGGCAGCTGCTACGGCTTGCGCGGCTTTGAGGGAGCGGCGAGCTATGGTAAAAGTAATTTTCACGGCAAAAGTAACTTTGCGCACATTCCGGCAAGTCAATCGAGCGTGTCCAGGACAGCAGCAACAGCCGCAACAGCAGCAGCCAGCGCGGAGGATGAGACAATTGTGTTGACCGAGGACGAGGATGAAACAGTTGTCAGTTCCCATGACTACAATGAGTACGCCACAGACACTGAGGGCGACGGCGACGAGGAGGACGAGACTATACAAGTTCACGACGTTGATGAGCCACAGGAGCAGGAGCAGCGGCAGACGCAACAGGAGAAGGATGAGGAGGAGGAGGAGGAGGTATTTGTGGACATACTGGGCAACGATGATGATGATGACGATGTTGTAGAACTGGCGCCACAACAAAGCCCCACGCAGCAGCTGCTGGAGGCCAAGGCGCTGAAACGCCATGAGCTGATCTATGAGGATGAGGAGCTGCATCATCAGGCCGTCAATGGTCTGGCCAAGCTCTTTGAATGTGACTTTGGCTCGTCGTCCAAGGAATGCCTCGAACTGGAGGCAGAGGCTGCAGCAGCCGCCGTCGAGGAGCAGCCGGAAAAAGTTTACATGGATTTGAGTGGTGGAGGCGGCGGCGGCGGAAGCGGCGGCAATGTGGAGACCCCAAACCCCACTCAAATGTCAGTACAAGCCCAAGCCCCGCTGTTGCGCAAGCACAAGCCAGAGCGTAGACGCACTAAGTTGCGCAAACACGCAGCCATCGATGAGGAGACAATTAGTCCCGTCTCCGGCACCATAATACGCAAGCTGCGCGACGATGAGGAGCTGGTGGTGCGCAAAGGTGACATTGATCCGGCTTTCAATGTGGTCGAAATCACCGAAGAGGCCAAAGCCATCTTGGCCAGCATCGAAAATAAGATTGGCGACTATATGTGTCAGCTTTGTCGCACCGTCTACGATGATGCCTTCATGCTGGCCCAGCATCGATGTCCACGCATCGTGCACATCGAGTACAAGTGCTCCGAGTGTGAAAAGGTCCGATTTGCCATCTTACTCTATAATACTTACTAAGCTTTGGGTTAACCTTGCAAAATATTAAAGAAATATAAGTTTTAGAAAACTTTATTAGTTAGAAAGGGTTGAGCATATTTGAAGCTTTGAGCTTTAAGTCAAATTTAAAGCTCTAAAAGCTGCAAAGAATGTAGCATAGCGTATTATGTAACAATAAGCATTTAAATCAGCTTTCAGCTTTAATCTTTTCAATTTTTGTAGCCGTAGATAAACGTAGCTTATGAAAAGAAATTTAGAATATTAAGTAGTTTTATATAATGAAGCTTTGAGCTTTAAGTCAAATCTATCGTGTACACTAAATAAAGCTCACGCCAAGCTCTAAAAGCTAATTTTAAAACAGTATGCAGTTAAATGAGTTTTCAGCTTTAATAATTTTCTTTTTTTAAAGCATATCCGTAGATGACTAAGTTTAATTAAAAGGAATGTAACATATTAGGTATGTAGCATAGTTTTGTATTAAGTAGCTATGGGCTTTAAGCCAGATTCCTACGTACACTTAAGGTTTCTTCAAGCTATAAAAGCTGCCTTTTAAGTCGCTTTATTTGCTCCTGTGCTATAACTGAAATAATTATTATACGCCAAGCAGTTAAATAAGCTTTATGATTATTTATTAAAACACTATAGCATTGAGTAAAAAAAACTACAATTAAGTTAAATTGTTAATTGATTAAAGCTCTAAAAGCTGGCTTCAGCCACTTTATGTGCTTCTGAGCGACATTTGAAAATTTGTATTGTTAAATGAGCTTTCAGCTTCATATTTTGAAGCTTTGAGCCTGCTGTAACATTGAACACAGTTATTTACCCAAGTCATCTCAATTATACAATTTCTATAAAAATATAGGTATCTAATAATGTACACATGCAAGTCTATAGAATAAATTAGAATCAACTTGATATCAGATCAGATCCCATTTTAGTAGAAATTCTGATGTAAGCTCTTACCAATTTTAGGAAATTTTTCATTTGAATGCCAATCGGAAGTCGTGCGTGTCAAAAAATGTACATATTCGAATAGCTGACTTTATTTACTTTAAGCTACTAAAGCTCGTATTCACGCTCGTAAATGTGAGTAATTTTCAAAATAGGTGAAATTAGTAAACTACGCAGCACTGTTTTTCAAAGCTAATAAAACAAATGTTGGCAAACATGTTGAAGTAAAGTTCATTGTAGCTGGAAAATATTTGTATTTCCCCATCAAATAAATATAAGAACTTGTGTATGTAGGCTAATTTAGTGCGAACTAGCACTAAATCTTAAAACTATTATGCCAACCCGGGCAGTATTACTATTTCAAGCTTAATCCAAAGCTTAAGTGTTATTTTCAGCTGGTGTCATTGGCACTCACTTGCTTTAAGTTCAGCTAATTAAAGCCCTCATTCGCAGGTCTTCAATTGTCCAGCCAACTTGGCTTCGCATCGTCGCTGGCACAAGCCCAAATCGGAGATGCAGCCAGGCAAAAAGCGGTCAAGCGGTGGCGCCAGCGAAGCTGCCACCGCCAGCAGCAGCAGCGCCAGCGCCAGCGGTGGCACAGCAGAGACTGGCCACAAGGCGACGGCTGGCGAGGAAGCCAGCGATGGCATTTATCCCTGCCAGCAATGCGGCAAATCCTTTCGACGGTAAGCGGCAACGGGCTTCGTTTGAATTGATTATACATGCCACGCCCTTTACAGCTTCGCCTATCTGAAGAAGCATCAGGCCTCGCATCAAATGCTGGATAATCTCAAGAATATGGAGCTCTTTAATGCGCATCAGCAGCAGCAGCAGCAGCAACTGCATCAACAGCAGCAGCAGCAGCAGCAACATTTGCCCGCACAGCCCGCCGCTGCGGCTGCACCTTATGTGCTGCCACGCCCTCCGCATTGCGCTTTGTATCCAACGGCCACGCCCAAGGGCTTTGCAAGCGGCAGCCAGCGCTTTAGCGGCTTCCCCTTTCAGCCATTCGACCAGCGGCGCTTCTACTCGCTCGGCGAACTGTATCTCAGCCAGCAGCTGGAGCGCTCCTCGGCCTTTCAGTACGTCCATGCGAACCATCTGAGGCAGCTGTCGAATGTCGCCCACAACATGCTGCCCCCGCTGCCGGTCAAATGACCCAGCACCCATGTGCTGCGTCCTGTGCCGCGCATTGCGTCCACATCGAGCACGTCAACAGCAGCAGCAACAGTCAACAGGCAACTGGAGCTGCCACCGATAGTTGCCACAGCGCCCAATTTCAATTGGATGCTGCCGATGTCAACGGCAGCTGCGGCGCCAGCGGAGGCCACTGACCATGTTATTGCTTAATTCCAATTCGATTTATAGCATTCAATAAAGTTTAATAGTTAATGTTTACATTATCATCATTAAAAATATTACAAAACCAGACTTTTTAAAACTACGCCAACAAGATTTGGTTAAGAGTTGGGAAATAGAATATGAATAATGAGAAAGTCAGCATATCCACGGCACGCCGAAGATTTAATACCCTCGCAGATATGTGAGAACTGAGGAGCTCATAAATGCTGAGTTTGATGAATAGTATATCTTGAAAACAGAATATTTTCCTATACAAAAACTGTTTTTTCGACTGATTCTTTCCATAGGGCTTTATAATATAGTAATGCGATCTAAATAAGATTTGCCTCAAAAAGAAGCAGCATAGTTTTACTTATTATTGCCGAACATGGTCAGAATATCGAGTTTTCCCTACAAGAACCTACTTTTCGACACATCGTTCATTGGCGACATTATTATACAGTGGTCCGATGTTGAGGAGATTTTGCATGTGGGAAGAATAGTACAACAAATAGATGCCGATTTTGGTCTTGATATCTTGAAGTTGTTAATACAAGAACCTACCATATGATATAGTGATCCGATCCGGCCGGTTCCGACATATGTACTGCCTGCAACAGAAAGACGGACCTATGCAAAAGACGATGGCTTAAAAACTTAAAAACAGACAGGCGGACAGACGGACCGGCAGGTGGACTTGACTATATCAATTCGACAGCTGATGCTGATCAAAAATATATATATACTTTTTAATTTCCTCTACAAGGGAATCAAAAGGGGATTTTCCGAGTTTTAACTAAACCCGGTTTGAACTGCGGTACACACCGAACTTGAGCCCAGAACTTTTAATTTATCATGAAACAAAGCTTAAATTGGAAAAATATTTGTTACAGACATTTAAAGATAATATTCCAAAAGCTTTTAGTTTCGAACAAGTCAAAAGTATTTTTAAATAACAAGAGTGCTCTAGTCGGAAGCGACTGACGGGAATACACCCTGAACTCACGCAACTACTCGCAAACACGGAAATGCACTATACACACAAACTTAAGTACGTCACAGCTTGTGCTTCTTCTTCCCCTAGTTCTCTGCATAGGCACTGCATTCTTGATAAACTACGGTGCTTAGCGTCCGATCTTCATTAAATTTTCAGGGCCTTATTATAGAGCATACAAAATAGATATATGTATACCAAAGCACAAGGCTCTAACGTAAATATGTCACTTTTGTATGAAATGAAAAGTTTATTTAATTTGTATATTCACTATACAAGACCCTACATAGCAAATTTTTGTGTCTAGCTCTTATACTTTCCCATTTATACTGAGGATCTATATTTATCTATATTTCTAACGTAAGGAGAAAATATCGGATGAAAAATGTAAGGCTCGTTCTCGATCGACGTTGACACAAACGGACAGACCGACGGTCTGCGAGGCGAATATGCCCAGATCGACGCAGCTCATCGTCCTGATAAATATTTCAAGCCCTTTGTGGGATCGGAAATGGTTCCTTCTGCATACTCCTGCTACTGCTACAAACAATTGCTTAAAAATAAAATGATGTAAAGAAAATAAATTTTATTTTTAATAAATGTATACAAACAAAACCTGAGCTAACAGATGTGGATGTAAACAGATTGTGGGGTTTATCTTAGCTGCTGCTACAGCTGCCTGCCAAAAACGTCAATGCCCAAGGCATATGACAGAGCCTGAGCCAGATAGGTTTCATCGTGTACGCCATAGAAGAGCAGGGACTTGGGTCCTGTAATAGAAAACAAAACATTCGTCGACTAAAGTCAAATGGTTTGCAGCCTGACTCACCCTGTGCGAAGAGCAGACTCTCAGATGGAAGCTGCTGCAGCCTGCGCTGCAACTGCAGCTCGGGCCCTTGAAGAGACTCCTCCAAAGTGCTGACCAGCTGCGTTTCCCCGCTGACATCCCGACTGGAGCTGAGATAATTGCCATTTGTGAGCAGCACCATTGTCAGCAGATCCTTTTGGCCCATCAAACGGGCCAGGGTCGCATTGAGCAGCTGCAGCTGCTCCCGGGCAACCATGTGCGGCTGCACATGGTGCTCCACAATTAACAGATGCCCCACACCCGGACGCCTGAGCACCTGCAGCGTTCGATTTAGCATCAATTGCAACGTGGGCGCACGGGAGTTGGCGCTCAAATCCCCATTGGCAAGCACGCCCAGCAGATAGTCCAGGCTGCTGCCATTGATAGAGCTGAGCTCCTGCTCATGCTGCACCAGCTCAAAGCGAGGCATGGGCTTGCTTTTCAGTTTTTGATTGCGCCAATCGCGCAACAAATTGCGTCCAGCTCTGGCGTGGCACAGCAGCTCATCCGACGGATCCCACGCAAATGTGGGCACTTTGGAATTGAACATCTGCCGGCCTCCGCCTAGCAGCACATTTAACGCCTGGCCCGTTGCACCTGAGATGAGCTGCTGGGCCACATCCTGGCAGCCGGACTCAATGGCACCCATCGGCATCAGGCCATCGCATTCCCAGCTGCTTTGCGCCACCTCCGCGTACAGAGCGGCGCCCGTGGCGCCCGTCAGACGTTGATTGGTCACGAAGCCGGTCCGCAGACCCGCCAGCTGGGCCTGACGCAGCACGCTGAGCAGCTGGCCGGGCGCCGCGCTGCAGTTGCTCCGCACACGCTGAGCAGCTGCCAGCGGCACACCCGTCCACAGTGCACGGAAAACGGCCGACGCATCGCAGGGCGAACTGTTGCTGCAGCTGTTCTTCAGCCGTGCCGCATGCGGGAATCGATCCCAGATGTAGCCCGAATGCTGTGAGCCGTTGAAACGTGCCGCCGCCAGGGCGGGCGCATCAATGCCTTGGATCATTAGCAGCCACACATTTCGTGGCTGGCTGAGCTTGGAGTGCCCACGCAGCGCCCGCTTCAGCTCCTCAATGCCCTTGTCGTACCAGGGCTTCTGTTCGGCAGATACCGCATCCTTCCAGTAGTCCACGTCGCCCACATTGGCCACCTCGTGCTCCACCTCGTAGCGTATGGTGAAGCCAATGCAGAGCAGCGACACGAGCAGCGACAACACCACCGAACCGGCCAAAATGAACAATTGCGTCGACTTGAGACGCAGCTGGAAGCAGAACCTTCTCATCCGCTGCGACATGGCCATGGAATATGCCCCTAACTAACTGCGACTATACGCTTCATAGGTTTTTATCTCTCCTTATCCGACCAACTATCTATCTATCCAACCATCTATCTATCCAGATAACATTTGTGTAGACTGTTTGAAGTTTTAATACCGACAATTAGCATTTAGTACTCGTAATTAGATGGAAAATCTCATGAATATTTTACACATTAATTGTCATATAAACAAATGCATTGTAGACTGAAAGAAATTGCATTACAATTCAACTTTGTTTCAATTGTCATATACACAAGTACTTTATACGCTGGCAGAAATTCTTCTTTTAAAATATTTATTTATAATATTATAATATCAGCAATATTATGAGGAGTTCCATGCCTTACACTGAAAGAAATTGCATAATGTTTTTATTGGTAAATTTTAAATTTTATTTGAAACTTATTTATTAATTTAAGACTGAGCTAAATACAATATATATATTCACTTATACATTGAACAAATATTAAAAACAATATTGTAATATTTTAACTTTGTTTTGTTCAACTCATATTTGGGTACACTGAAAAAAAATATTTTGAAATTATTAATAATATTAAATGTTTATTAATGAGTAATGAAAATATAATCATAGTCACTCAAAGTTATTAAAAAATGGAATAGTATTTTTGTGTTTACTTAAATTTATTTATTTATTTAATGCATTGTACACTGAAAGAAATTGTCATAAGTTAATATCCAACATTATGTGATCATGCGCGGGTATATTCTGTTAGAAATTCATAATACTATTTTTATTCAACTTACATATAAAGAAGGGCAACGTATGTACACTGAGAAGAATTGTTTTTAAATTACATATTAATAAAATTGAAAATAATTTTCGGTGATATATATATAACAAATATAGTTATATAAAGTTATTAAATAATTAAATAATTTGCATATATCAAGTAATTAAATAATAACAATAATAATAGTAATATTAAATAATCATAATATTAAATAAATAAATAATAATAATGATAATAAAGTCATATTGAAATTAATCAATCAAAGTTATTAAGTAATGGAATAATTTGCATATATAAAGTAAATGAATTATTATAATAATAACGATAATATGGAAATAAATAATAGTTATACTAAGTAAATTAATAATAATAATAAGTAAATATTGGTTATAATAATATCAGTCACATTTCAAAAAATTAAAATGTATATTATGAACCAATTTGTCAAATTTCAGACATAAATTTATTCTAAAGAGCTTTGTGCTTTCACGAGCTCAGCATTATCTATCCAAGAACGGACCTCGTTTTCCTGAGTCTTATCTCTATATATAAAACTGTCTATCCTGACTGACTGACTGACTGACTGACTGATGATCAACGCACAGCCCAAACCGTAAGAGCTAGGAAGCTGAAATTTTTACTGTAGTTACCTTAGGTGATGAAGGTGCACGTTAAGACGGGGTTTCGGGAAATTCGACCCGCAAGTTTCGAAAAATTGCGAAAAACGTTTGTATAAAACTTTTTTGTTTACCATCCTTCAATTTATTTTTAAATGCTATTTGAATAATTGCTTCAAATTTTCCGCAGTGTGTTAAATGCACAAAATTTGAAATTCTGATTTGAATATTAGCCTTACCTTTGCCGTGGGTCAACGACGTCTCTGTTTTGGCAATTAAATGTTGCACACATTCTGTGCCATTATTTGTGGGAGGCCACAACTGTTTTATTGAATGGGCGTGGCCCCCACAACACACACACACACACACACATGGACTGCGGCAGGCACAGCTGGACAATGCATCTAATTGTCATTTGAATATTGTCAAACCGCAGCAAACTATTCGCTCATGAATTTTCAATAACAACGCATCGAGCAGCATTTTGCACATTTGTCGTTATGCGAATGCGAATGCGAAATTATTGTCGCAATTGCCAGTCGTTAACCTGCTGTCACGCCCCATTGACCCCACCCTACACTCAGCGGAAAAGAAAACTGGATACGAGTACGAAAAGCGAGTACAAAAAGGTTCTTTTAATGCAGTCAGGCTTAAGATATCTTAAACTCAGAATCAAATTCTTCATCAATTTAAGATATGTTGTACTTCTATTGAGATTATTTTACACTGATTTCGAGTAGGAAATGTTTTTCAAGTACAAAAATCGATCACACAATCAAATTCTTATATCATAATTTTTCTTTAGCCAATGAATAATTTTGTCATTCTATTGTGAATATATTACGCTTACGTAATTGCTAATGTATAAGTTTTATTTTACAGTATATTACGAAAGTACGTAACTGTTTTGGAACACGTCGTCAACTTCTTTTTTAACCAAATTAATAAAAATAAAAACTAAGAATTTTGTTATTGAACTATATCAAGATCGAAATTATTGAAAAAAAATTGCTCAAAACTATTCCAAAATATATTTTTGGATTGCCTAAAGATATATTGAACTTTAATTATAAACATAAACATAAATATTTTAAAATAAATTCAAACTTTTTTCTCATAGTTGTTATAATATATTTTTATTTATTAATTATTTATATTATTATATTATTAATATATTTGACATAAATTTAAAAGTTAAAATTTATATAAATTCGAAGGAATTTGAAAAAAAAATTTATTCCAGCGTTTTAGACTCGGTTTTTTTCTGAGTGTAACAGCAAACCATCATTTCGTTGCTTTGAAGTTACTTTACATTGACATGTGGTCAGTTTTCCCTGTCACAATTGTTGCAGCAGCAGCTGCCACATGCCACATGCCACTTGCCGCTTGCCACTTGCAGCGGACTTACGTTTCTTTATCAATTTGCCAATTTATCTAGTTGTCCTGTTGCCCCTGACAGGACATCAAATACGCCCACGGAAGTGACCTTTCTCTCCAAATTATTTCCGATGGCAATTTTTCAATCATGCTGTGAATTTGAGCTACGCATTGCGTGCGACTCATTGAGCTTTTATTGCCGTTACATACTTTATTATTTAATACTTGGTCTCTACCTCCAGGCTTCCTTTACCGTTAAATAGTTTATCTTGAGTAGTTCCCAATTGAGTAGTTTTTATTTATACTCAGTGCGTGCGGGTTTACGCACTGCAAGCTGTCAAAATGAAAGCTTTAGCACTCTTGTATGGTTCGTGCATTGGATATGCTTTTGCTCAAGCTTGTTCTATTATTAAGCGCCATCTATTGACAGTAGACTGCAAGCGCATGCAACAGGCAAGTACGCGCTTATGTGCACACATTCATACAAACTGTTCACCGACATGCTCTGCATGCAGCTGGTATATATATGTGTGTAAGTATTTATATACTCACATACATAACTGTTGTGGCCGAATTTTTACCAATTTGCGTGGTGTGAGAAAAAGAATCGAAGAGTGCGAAACTGTGGAAAGATAAATCAATTGCTTGCGTTTGGGACAGCTCAAGAGTAATAAATGCTGAATACTGAGAAACCCTGAAAAAACAGCTCATGAGCATTTACTTTACAAAGATTAACTTAAAAAAAAAAAATAATATGGACGAAAGTCATAGGGACAGGGATATGTAAGAGACAGCAGGGAGATACATCAATAACTATGTATAGATAAGCATGTACATATGTATATACGTGCATAGATAGTTGGATACGTATCTATAGATAGTTTATGTACAGATTAATAGATTAATTAATAGATAGGTATAATAGATATGAGTGTAAATAGAGAATTGGATAGGTAGTTATGTATCTACATATATATATCTCTATAATTATGTTTCTATATATATATTAGAAAGATAGATAGATATGTATCCATGGATATTCATGTGCATAGATCGATAGACATCTATGTATGTATACAAATGTACATACGTAAATATGTATGTATTTGTCTATATATCTATGCATATTCATCGATAGATAGAAATGTAAGCATATGTACATAAATACATATTTATATATAGGTATACGTGTATATAGAAAGATAGATATGTATCTGTAGATATATGCAAATACATGTAAATAGATAGAAATATACCTATGGATATTCAACGATAGATAGAAATGTAAACATGGATAGATATATTATCTATAGATAAACGTGTAAATAGAAAGATCGATACATTTTATACTACTTACATATCTAAAGACGTACATTTACATAGAAAGATAGATTAATATGTATACATAACAATGTATTATAAAAAATATAAAAAATAAATATGTATCTATAGATATAAATATACGTATTTATATATATATATAGATACATACATAGATATGTATCTGAAGATATTATATGTATATATTCATCGCTAGATAGATATGTATCTATGGATAAACGTGTACGTCTATTGATAAATAATTACATATATATCTATAGATATATGTACGGAAACATGGCTAGCTTAACAGATGTAGATAAATGTGCGGGCCAGGATGCAATTAGTGTCGAGTGGCTATCAAGTTGCAGTTGACATGGAGCTTGGGAGAGCTATTTGACCGCCCTGTAACGTGAATGGGCTGCGCCGTGGCGCATGTGGCATGCAGCTAGCACCGCCAACTAATTGAAGGAACCAACCAAGAGCGGGAGGTGGGGGAGGAAGTGTGGCAGCCGCAGGAGCAGCAGCACATGCAGTTCAACAGCTGGCGACGCCCACGCGGCCCAAGGATTCGAAATGCCAAAGCGTGGGCGAGAGAGTGCAAGAGAGAGAGAGAGAGAATGGGAGAGGGACAAGGGGAGCGGAAGGCTATGGGAGAGCGAAGTTGTGAGCCGTGTGCAATCGGGCGGCTTCCTGCTACACTGGGCTCTGCACTCTCTTTGCACGCCGTTGACCTTGTCCTCCCAATGGAGAAACGCAAGAGATTTTTCAGCGTCATATTTTCCTTTTCCTTCTATTTGTTCCATTGCATTTTCCACACTTCCATATGGCCCTTGCGGATTCGCACAGTTGGAAAATGCGTTTGTTTATGCATTTGAATTAATTGCAGGCTATAATTACTATAAAACTTTTCTGTCAATCAATTTTTTTTTTTTTTTTCATT